AGAGCGTCGCATTTCTATGCACCGCGGCCGATTCAATGAGGAAACTCGATCTACTTCGAGAAATTTCTGAATATTGAAAATGTTAAGCACGAACGTTGCGGAATTATAAAACGGTGCACAGTTTTAGGTCAGATTATACAGTGGTTTTCTTTGTTCCAAAAAATTAAAACGGAGTTTAGCTTACGTGTAACGGATTTGATCGAATTTTTTTTTTCCTTTTTTTTTCATTTCGGTATGTTTTTTTCCCTGTTTTTTTGCTCTTTTTGAGAGTTGGATAATTGGAGCGTTTGCTTTGCACTTTTTTCTTCCGTTTTCGGTTGTTACCGTTGTTATTGCTGCTTCTATTTGTATTCGGAGCGAATTGGGTAGCCAACAATGAGATGAAAAAATAAAAAGTCAAAATTCGTTCTTTCGTTCAACTTTTCCAGATGCATTCTGACCAAATTGGTATTTCAGGAATTAACCTAATTTTGAAGTAAATAATCGAGATTTATGAAAGTTATGGTTGATTAATGAATTTTATGTTTGCGTTAGATATATTCAAAAATCTTCACAATTTGCAATATGGACCGTTTCACCAGTGAATATGAACCTAACCTAACCCATTTAATGCGGACCAACAGCGACTCAAAACAATTCAGAATTCCATATACAGGGATGCAAATGGAAAAATATGAATTTCAAAATAATTCAGAAATATAAAATTCAAAATAATTCTGGAATTCGAATCCAAAATAATTCAGGAATCCAAATTCAGAGAGGCACTTAGATTCCACGCGAATTTCGCATGAATATATAATACGAAAATTGAAATTCAAAAGATCTGTAATTTCAACGGATCCAAAAATAAATCAGAAATACATGTTCAAAACTGATACAATTCTTCCAAAATTCAAATTCACAGCAATCTCATAATACAGAATGTTATTTCGAAAGCCTCGATGTTAGAAATTAATTGCACCTTCACTTCAGTCGCTAAATAATCGCTATTCGTCGTATCAATTGGATATGATTCTAGGCAATAATAGGTGACATAAAGCGAGACTACCGTGGAACGAACTAATCTTAATCAGCGAGTGGAGAAAGTCGTGAAAGGAAAGTGGTAGGCACGTACCCCGAAGGGAAACGTCAAGCTTCCTTGATTCCGCCTCCGGTGTGGAGGCTCGCTCGAAAATTGGTATTCTCCGCGGAATAATTGATTGAATTCGAGTCGGATGGAAGATGTTCTCCGACTAGATGAGACGCTATCGAGTAGGTGGCGACAGCCTGATAATGACGATTCATTTTTCAAGGGCGTAACATGCGCAGCGGGTACGAGATCGTGGTGCCAAGGAAAGTCAGGTCGGATGGAAAGTTCGTGTCGCATCAAATACCTCATCACTTCAAGCGTTCCTTCTACATGGATCGAACGGCCACGGATAGGGTCCCAGACGACGCTGTTCACTACCGTTTGCAAATCGACGACGAGGAACACCACCTCGAGCTCCGGCCGAATTCCCGTCTCGTTGCTCCAGGCGAGTAGAAAATCTCCTTGGGTGTCTATGCTAATTTCAGCGAGTAACCTCATGTAAAAAAGGAACGCGAGAACGTTTGCCTCTATTAGGTTGGAGGCAGCGTTTACACTTCGTTTTAATCGCTCCCCCTGATTCCTTCGATGCTCTATCGGGTCTAGTAATAATATTGCTTCTCGCGATAAATTCGCCACAGTGGTATCCCTGAGTGCAGCGAAATTTGAATTCTAAATCAAATAATAGCCCTACTAGAGTTTCCCTCGCAATAGCCTTGGGCGAACGATCTGTCTTAGACTATGGCAGAAACTGTAACGTGACCTACTGTCATGCAGACTTTCTTTTGTATAGTTCCGATGAAGTACATGAATTTTGTATTCAGGTGCTGTCACGGAGGAGCATGGAGTATCGAGGATAACCAAAGCTGGAAACAACGAGGATTTCTTAAGGAATGTGAAATTGAGAGGAATACACGATGCCCAGTGTCACTATCAAGGTCGTGTCCATGGTCAGTCGGGAAACAGCGCCCTCTCTACTTGTTATGGCCTCGTTAGTACGCCATTTTTATCCGTCATCGATTGGTCGTTTGAAACCTGGAGAGGTATCGCACTTCATTTGCTCGAACTAGATCTAACCTAACTTTTCAACGCAGGCTAAAGATTCCGTGAAACTACAGTAGGACTTCGATTAACCGGCTTAATGGTACCCCAAGGCCAGATAACTAGAAACGTATTTTTCATACGGAAATAAACTTTTTGTTCTTGGAATATCTATTTCCTTTTATTCCGTAACTATAGGCAAATCTGTATCTATTCAAATTTTATCCATTTCCTTTATTTTACAGTGATATAGGAACAAGTACATGCAAGAGATATATTGTAAAAACGTAATACGAAAAGGACATGAGATATGTACAAACAATTGTGGCTAGTGAATATGAGATGTCGGATAATCTAGATGCAGTTAATGGAGGTCCTACTGTGCGTCGTGCATGTGTAATGAAAAAGAAATAGAAAATTTTTGTATGTAGTAAAACGGAAATTAAAAGTCTGGGCAGAGTCAAGTTTGCAAAATGGCGATGGAGATGGAACGCGACGGGTGGCGGAAACAGGGGAATAAGGTTTTTAAATCGATTAAGGGAGGCAGCCTCCCGGATAAAGCTTTCAAACGACTCGAACAAATATCGTGGCCTGGGCCGTGGCGTAAGATAAATCTGACTAGAAGGAATCTCGGTGTTCTCATCTCCAGGCCGGATATATTAGAACGAAACGATCGTGGTACACGATCGAGCCGGTGGCGGGTCATGACTTTACCAAAGAAACGGAGCACCCGCATGTCGTCTACAAAAAGAGACCGGACGAATTCGGAAGGAACGCCGAGATTCTCTGTAATGTCACCGGCAATATGGCCAAAACCATTGCCAAGCGCGCTTTCAGTTCGCAGAAAAGCCACCCACCTAAGAAGCAGGCCAAATCCTACACGATGGAACTGCTGCTGGTACTCGACAAGACCGTTCTCGATTATCGCCAGGATTTCGACGTCGAGAATTACGCGCTGACGCTGCTCAACATGGTACTAAACTTTGCCCTACTTTCCCCTTAATTGCCTTACATTAAGGGTTAAAAATAGAAGGCTGCCGAGCTATTTCGAAAAAATCTCATATTTTATGTATCTCTTCGTGCATATTTCGTAGGCACATTAGTAATAATAGGACAGAAGTTATTAATTTTTTGATTATTTCAGGCTGCCGGACTGTTACACGATGATAGTCTAGGAATACCGGTGGATTTGAGTGTTGTTAGGATTATAAGATTGCATGTCCAGGAAGATGAGGTATTTTTTGTACAGTACACTTTTGTGCATAGTAGACCTTCGATAATACGGTATCCAATAATGACAGTACCTTGTAAACGTTATTTACTAACTATAACGAGCCACTTTTCTTGCGTGTAAGAGCTCCACCATGCTCCATGTTAAAACAGTTCTGAATCCAATAATTGTATACCGCAAAAGTCCTGTGCACGCTGGATTGTCGAAATTCTACTGTGCTTCTCTTTCTTTCATCGTAATTTATAGCAGCATTATTAATGTATTATGTATTTTCCTATTAAACCCTGCAGATGAATTTGGCGATAACTAGAGACCCGAATAGTACTCTCAAATACTTCCAAGAATGGCAGCAAATGATTAACCCAGGCGACGATGCACACCCGAATCACCACGACTGTGCTATTCTGATTACAAAGTACCTTGCGTTCGAATTAATGTTACGCGAGTCTAACTTACCCTCGAACGGACTTGAACGCTCATTCATTTGGCCAGGAGCAACATTTGTGATTCGCCGAGCATGTGTGGTTTCACTGGTGCCTCAACGATCGCTGGGACTTGCGACCCTTTGAAAGGTGCTGCCGTTATAAACGATGTTGGCCTACACACGGGATACCACATTGCCCATCACATTGGACACACGTACAAGTTCCATTCTTCTTTCTCTTCTTTTTCTTCATGCTTCTTGCACCTGAAAGTATATAAGGATTGAGGTATTATAGTTCAGATGTAGCAGCTCAAGAAGATTAAAAGTGGCAAGATAAGAAACGCAATGACATACTATTTCTATTAACGTAATAACTAAAAGCAATTGCGTCGATTTTAGTTAACTAACCACATGGTTAAACGAAAGTTCTCTTAAAGGACAAATATAGTTGACTTAGTTGGATTTAAAGGGCATAGAGTGCAATAAACCACGTGGGTTTAATTACATTACTTGCAGCTGATATCAAGATGATCTTCAAATGACTTTTAAATAACCTTCAAATAAACCTGATTTCAAATATTTTTAATAACGACTTTTATCTTGTTAAAAGTTACTTCTTAATTTCATAAGTTCGTCACATCGATGACCTTTTTCTCTCGTATGAAAATAGAAGGTATATCAAAACGACGTTTGAAGGTCATTTAAAAGTCATTTGAAGTTCATTTCGATGCAGGAATTTCCTGACTCATGGTGAGGACGAAATGTGAACTAAATTACACGAACTATGCAAAATGAATCTCTCGTTATACATAACCTAAAGGCAGCTGTTATAAAATCTTGCTTCTATTTTCATCGTGTCTGATCAGTTATTTATTTGGTATTTTAAAACCCTTTAAATAGGTTGGGCATGTTGCACGACCTCGAAGAGGAAAATGGCTGCCCGGGTATTATTCGTCATGAAAAAGGGTACATCGAAACGACGGTCATGTACCCCGGAAACATGTATGTCACGAAAAGGTGGTCCAAATGTTCGAGGAATTCGCTGAACTCGTATATCGAGTAAGAAGCTGCATTCTATAGTAACGGAACTTTATCAGATCGACTTGAGATTGCATTTGCTTTCATTCATTTTTAAAAGCGACGAAGAACCTTGTTGACAGAAAACGCTTTAAAATTTCTGCGATAAAATTGGATTTCCTCCAGAACTTTAAAACGAACAGTATATTTTTGTCCCTCGTGTCATTAAAATTCTTGTGTTTTCATCAAACTTGGGTATTTGTTTAACTCTTTGACATACGAGGAAAATGAAATTCGATGCGTGTAAAAAATGTAATAAAACTCTTATCATTTTAGAAACGTAATAAGCAAATAACATACGTACATCAGATATCTTTATATGTCAAGAGGTTAACATAGTTGTGTACCTGCGAATAAGACAGAAGACGAGCGATACTTTAATTTTTCATAAAAGTTCAAATCCTAACAATAATTTACATTATAGTCTACTCAAAAAGAAACCTCTATTTGCTATCTTAATTTTATGAAAATTACAAAAAATAAAAGCAAATTATAAGAAGACTTATTCTTGCAGTACAGGTTTGGGATTCTGTTTAGAGGACGCGCAAAATTACAAGTTCACCAACATGGATTTACTTCCAGGAGTGATGTACGATGGGGATGACCAGTGTCGGATAGAGTATACTCCTGACGCGCGACAATGCGACCTGGAAATCGTAAGGAAACAAACTTAATTATCCCCGTATTATTTTTCCCTCCAAACTCTGTTGTCTCTCTCCCTTGTCTGCCCCAATTTTCAACGGCGATATTACGTTACGTGGCTCTTCCTCAACCTTATTTTCCGCGTTATATTATGCGCCGCCGTGGAACTCCATATCCTTTATATTTCCGTCATATTTCGTCGCGACGAAGAAAATATGCAGCTTCACAGAGATTCTGCGTCGGCGACGAAAATTGAAACGACCGCGAAAGAGAAACGTTCCACTCGTTTCGATTAACACCGAATCCGCGTATACACATTCTCAAAGTCCAAAGTTAATGTTTTCATAACTTCGAACGTTCGTACGCCGCGGCGATTGATTTAACAGGGAGAGCGATCGGCGCACGGAACGGCTGCCATCTATCGGCCTAACAACCTCATTATTTCGTCATTCGAAATCGTTGATGATGGGCCAACATTGGAGCCGTTGTAATTTTATAATTAAACGCGAAAACATAAATACAAGCTCGGCGAGGTGACGGGGACTAGTTAACGAGCTTAACGAAAATTCGGAGTGGAGCCTGTTTGTTCATCGAACGACATTGTTTTTAGAGGGGCAGGGCAGTGATAAACGCGTTAACGTGCGCCCTTGTCGTTCGATGTTTACTCGCGTCACTTTGTGCCACACGGCACGGTTGGGACAAAGATACGGTTTTTTCCACAACCTTCTCTCGTTTGTGCACAAAAGACAGTTTACCCGTAATTGCGTGAACCGACGCGGTTTCGTTAACGTGTTGCATTTGTTCGTTAAGTTATTCGTGTTGTAAGAGTCGAGGTCCGTGTAAAGCGGTAAGTGTAAACACTTTCAGCTTTGTTCTACGACTTCGCCGAGTTAATTAAGCTGTACGCGCATACGAGATTAGCGAAATTCTAGTTGTGTGTTTTGACGAACGAAAAGCTTGCACGAGGGTATACGTGTTGACATTTTTATTGCGCATCGGCCATGACATATACGAAAAGCGCGGGAAAATCGGTTACTTTCGAACCATTAATACTAGGACTGTCAGATCATTCAGTGTGATATTTCATTCCTATATTTAATCAGAACATGCAAGCTACTTTAGATAAAATTAACGTTCACTTTTATTCGTATAAAAACATGCATGTTATTGCTTGCATTGCACATTTATTTTACCCACGTTTAATACACTACATTGCGTATATTTATTTTCATCATACTAATTACAATTAATATCTGTGTTGCATACTGCATATATAAAATATCTTAACTGGAAGAGGCCATCTTTGTTTTAATGACATGAAAGATATTTATGCCACAGTTTGAATTTTTTCAAAAGGTGAATGCCTTGTTTTTAGAAGATGAATAATTATTTCCTTCTTTTTTTCTGTTTTTCCACTCTTTTTTTTTGATCAGAGAAACGTGTATTTCTTTTATATTAAAAGAAACATTTTCAGGGAAAG